TATTATTTCCCAAGCTCAATATTTGGCAAAGATAATGTTAAGAGTTATATTTGTACAATAAAATCAAAAAAATTAATTTCAAAGATTGGTCTTGGAAGATTTTGGGCATTAAATTTGTAATACTTTTGGCAATTCTTGAAAATTGGCATCATGCCAATTTTCAAGGGTTGTCTGCCCTTTGATATATTGCATATTTGATTATGATAAATGTCAATTTTGAAAGAACATAGTCTTATGTTGTTCAAAATACCTTAATGGAAATGCAAGTTTAATTTTGAGTAAAATAAATCAAATGTGAATTTTACCATTTTTCTTGAATTTTTTAAGTGCATTTGCACTTAAATGTGCAAAAAGGAGGTGGTGCTGCCTACGGCTGCCATGTTGAATGATGGGATTTTTTTTTGGTCATTTTTTAATAACATATTATAAAGTCTAACTACCCACCAAATTTCATTAAGATATGACAAGCTTCGATTTGGACAGTTCTGCATGGTTTTCTCGCGGACTGACTCTTAAGTATGTACAACTTTGTTAGTATAAATATATACTCAAACATTAACAGTATTACAGGGAAATGTTGCAATATTTTTTTTTTCTGGAAGAAGGAAATAAGGTGGGTACCTTGAGTGTAGAGCTCATACCACGAAAAGTAATGCGTCAACATATAATTTTTTACAGCTAAATCTTTTTCTTAAATATTATTGAGTAAAAATAATGCAAATATACGAAGTTTGAGTCCATATTTTTTTTTTGAATGACGGAGATTAGCATGTGAAGCATATTTTCTCATATTAAATTTTGATACGTTAGTCTAACAAAGTGCATCTATCCATAATAATTCATGCAAAACAATGATTATATATTGTTGACTAACATATTTCTCATCTCTTTAGGGTATTAAAGTCGAATATTTAGACTTTAATTCATTTTTATACAACAAAATCTTGGATAGGTAAATTTCAGGGTATATACTCCAATAGGTAATAGCGGAAAAGTGAACCTGCTGACATATGATTTTTCTTGTGTCTATCCATTGCTGAGATTTATGTCTAGCTTTTAAAAGCAGATTTATTAAGATTGAGCCCATTTAGTGCAGAGTATAGAACTACCTTAAATTTTGTAAAATTAAAATTGTTTCAATATTAATCCAAATTAAAATTATTCTCTTTATCAGGATTTTCATTTGCTTTTATTTTTCTATTGTATGTAAGTGTACATGTATTCCGCATTATTTATTGTGAAAGATGGTGAACATGTTTCAGGTCGTATAAATCTGCTATCTGATACCGCTGACAGGAGTTCTCTCCCCATAATACGTACGAGTTATGTTGCGTTACAAAGGCGATATACATGAATTCCTTCCCTCGTTTTAAAAGTGTCACCTTTATCCTTCCATGGACCTGTTGAATACAAGTAGATTTGATATTGCTGTTATGCCTTAAAACAATCGTTTCATTTTTTAGTGCAAAATATATTGGATCAACTTTGTGAAAATGTTTCAGGTCGTATAAATTTGCTATCTGGTACCGCTGACAGGAGTTATCTCTCCATAATACGTACGAGTTATGTCGCGTAACAAAGGCTCCTACATTGTAACCTCATTTTAAAGGTTTCACCTTTATCCTTCCATGGAACTGTTGAATGCATGAAGAGTTGATTGTTGTTATGCTTTAAAACATTTGTTTCATTTTTTAGTACAAAAATTAGATCAACTTAATTTAATCAGGAAGCATTTTGAACTATTTAAAAAAAATCAGTTTCATCATAAAATTAAATTAAAATTAAAAAAAAAATACGGACTTCTGACTGAAATGACTATAGAGACGATGAAAATCCAGGTACTGCACATATATAAAAGTTTGAATGGATGTAGGGAGGAAACGAATAGTTCTCGTGTGTTCCTTATATATGTCACGGGATCTAATCCCACTGAGGGACGTGAACATGTGTTCTTAAGGTATTAGATGTATAACAAGCATTGTTGAAGAATGAAATTTTACTTTATATTTCCTTATCTTTAGTGTTTTGAGGCTTTAATTCCAAAGTTACATAAAGTTTTGTCCAGACATATCTGAAAAAAGTAGAATTTTCAAATCATACTACCACTGTCGGAAACAGTGAAGGGTATGTATGTTATACCAGAAGAGGAATTCTGTGAAATAAACTCATTTTCAGACTGTAATTTTACTTTAGATTAACAAAAATAACATAGATGCTTCATAATAAAAGACTTTTTTCTCAAACGTTACAATTAATTAATAAAATTTCCAGATTAAAATACGTTACTCAATGCTAAGTGTGTATTTCTTATAAAAACAATTAATTTTTACTTTTTTTTAATTAAAAAAAAGAAAAGAGTGGGCTGAAAATTTCTTTGATAGAAAATGACTAATCAATGTTGTACAAAAATAAAATACAAAAAATATTTTTTACCAGAATATTTTAGAGTAATTAAGCATTTACTATCCCTACCCCCAATTTTAGTATCCGTTTGCTGACACACAAATATAGCTTTTCATTCTCAACACTATAAGTATGATTATGCCATTCTTATATATTGATAAATGTATAAAACAACATAAATAAATAAGCCTTATGACATTTTTAACAACGTCCTTGACCTTTAACCTTGAAAAAAACCGTATTTATACACTTGTTCAAGAACAATTCTGGGAGATAAAAAAATGTACATGTAATTTTGTTCTTATGTTAGTTAAAAAAAGTATGGTATTTTTTCCTCATATGTACAGAGAATTGCAAAAATCATGAAAATGAAATCAACTTAATATAAATATTTATTATGACCCCCCCCCTTTCCCAATCTATTTTTTCTCTATGAAATAAATACCTAGTTTAAAAAACCAAAATGTGTTTTCCCTATTTCTTTTTTCTTTTTTTTAAATAATAGTAGAAATTATTTAGTACTTAAAGTTTTGTTCTTTTTTTATTTTATTTTATTAATTTCCTCTCTCTTACGGGTATTTTATAAACATTTAATCAATGGTTAATTTAGAACCAGGAAGATTTTTTTTTCATTTTGGAAACACAACCTTAGTATACAGTCATGTAGTTATACAACAAAAAAACATCTATTATGTCCAGAAAATCAGAGAAAACTCCGGGAATTTTTTTTATGCAAACGAATGACAATGTACATGACCGATCTATAGCTGTAACCGCGGTCTAGATCTAGTTTAGCGAATTAACATGATTATAGATGCCCACTTCCATGTGTTTCTTTACTATGTTTACTGAAAATCGACTAAAAATAACGAAAATCTGTTAAAATATTACATAGTTTAAAGAAATAAAAAAATTACCTCATTTTCTCTACACATCGAAGGATGTGCTATTTTTAGAACTTGGAAAAACCCAAGTATGTATTTTACTTTGAAAGGACTGTTTATGCAGCAATTTGTCTAACAAAAATACTATATCATGGTTTTCTATCAATCTAACATTTGTTCTTTCCTCTGTTAAGTATATTTCTCTCATCTGATGGCATGAATAATGCCAGCGTCTATCAAGCCGTGTTGACGAAGAGTCATGCTTGTTTACGACGGTCGATAACTCTTAGACAGAAACAGTGTTACGACATCGGCAATCATCGGCAAACGCCGTCATTTTTACCGGAAGTGCCCTGTTATACATCTAAATCCTTAAATTACACCGATTAAAATGGTCCCTTGATGGTGAAGTTGCTAGCACGAAAATGATCCCTCGCTGCTCAATGGCCTTCATGCAATGCCAATATCAAATTGAGGCTCTCCGCGGCGAAGAATGTTTCAGTGAAATATTCGAAAAGAGACATTTAAATCAACAAACAAACTCATCATTACAGTATTTTGGACGTTTACAGGCATTATTCATAGTTAATGTATAGAAATATAGAATAAGTCAATATTTATTTCTATTTTTAGGTTAGTTATTTTTTCTGGCTGTCCTCCTTCTTTTCCAAAAGTGCGTTTTTGTGGACCAGATGTATGTCTTATTGTGTGTCTCTTTGTGTAGGGAGGGGGTTTAGGTCGTGAGGGAAATGCAGAAACATGAATATTGATTTGAGTATTGCATTTTTTCATTGACCAAGACAGGAATGTGCTGTCCAAAAAGTTGATTTTTTAATTGCTGGAGAGTGGAGCACAAAAATACAAAATTCCTTTACAAGCTAAAAAGAAACATGACAGTTGATGGAAATAAAATTCTGTAGACTTTTTAAGAAGGGGGGGGGGGGGGGCAGCTCCGTTAAAAGCCTCTTTAAATTCAACATATGAAAAGTTACAATTAACCCCCCCCCCCCCCCCCCAGTTTTTCCTGCAGTTTCTGCGAATCCTACTAAACATGATTGTGTATATATGCTCCTCATGCACCATCGCTTGATTACAATGTCTTATTGATATTTTCCCTTTTATTTCCTCTCCATTTGTCATACTCCTCGTCATTACATCTTTTATATGTAAAAAAATAAAAATAAGGTAGGGGGAATATATGCTCAAGTTCCACCTAGAAATATTACCTTCAAAAAAGTAAAAGAAACTTTTTACTAAACTGTTTGCCTACTTTTGTCACCAGATGTCCGACAAACAAGAAAATAATGTGGTGTTACTATTAAAAGAATGAACTCCCTACTCCTGTACTCTAAAGCAGATGCTCGAATCACTGTGTCTCGCGGGCGACGAAAGCAAAACGTAATTTCAATTTATAGCTATTATTAAGACTAAAAATCATTTTTTACAGATTTGCATTCGTATTTCAGGATTATTATTAAATTAATTTATGATAAATTTCCACATCTTTTTAATCTCATTTATGCCGCAATGGTTAAAGAAGAGATTAAAAAAATGTGGTGGGTTTGGGGGTGGTTCACATCCTAAATCATCTCTGTTCAATAGGACCTAATACATACATGTACATACAGTGTAAAGGTTAACAATTTTTTTATTTTATTTTATTAATTTATTTGTTTGGTGATTCATAATTTATTTATTTGTTTGTCATCTCAGGTAAAATCCATAGCTATCCGGCAGAAGTCAGATGTCAACTGTATTGTTTACTTATATGGGATAAATATCGGATTCCTTTCATTGAACAATCACACAGAATCATAAAGGGCAAAATCAGACAGAGGTATTTCCCTGGTATTACTGATGACGGCTCGGTAGATCCCCCTGATGGAATCACAGAAACACGTGACGATGTGATAACCTTTATATCAGACGACATCCGACATGACGTCATGTACGCCTTTGTTACGGAGTGTCTGGTGGAGGACAGTGATCTGGAGTTTTTCCTGACCACGGCGTCACGTGACGTGATATCAGAATACTGCAGACTCTGGGATCATAAGAGAAGTGAGGGAGAGAGATGTCTGTATGTACCGAACAGACCGTTTGATATGTACGACCTCTTCATAGACAGTCTACAGCTGGACATCATCACACACTGTACCGTATCTGACAGGAGGATTCATCACAGAATCAGTAAACGTTGTAAGTATAACGTCTCCAAGATCTGTCTCTAATTATGTGGTTCACTGGTTTATGACAATTGCATGGAGATATGAAAGTATCGTTTTGATTACTATTTTGATCGTAACTATTTTTTAGATGCTTAGCAACAAATGAGTAATGTTTATGCATTTAAGAGGCAGTCCACCGAAAAACCAGGCAATAGGTGGCACATCGCTTGTCATGGATTTTAATTATTTTTTGCATAGACTTAGTATATTAAGTGTTTACACATGACAACATCAAAAATCTTTTTAGTGGTCCTTTAGTCCTATTTTGGTAAATGCCTTATTTTAAGTGCAAAAAGGTCAACTTAAGGGTAAAAAAATTACTACGTTTTTATTTTTTTTTTTATATGCAATAGCTTCTCAAAACTGGATGTGTCAATCAATATTATTTAAAGCATAGACTCTTATTTTTTTATTTTATAATGAATAAGACTCCAAATTATATTTCTTTAAAAAAATATGTGATCCAAAATTGAGTTGAACAAGTTATTTTTTGAATTCAGCATCCAATTTTCGATACGTTATGAAATCCAATACATCACTATGACAGATTTTTTTCTTTAAGACCGCGGAACATTAACTGGAAAAATTGGAAATATACAGCCTACGTCATTTCTATCTGTTACAATCAAAACATTCAGTGATAGACAATGAAATGGGCGGGTACAATTCAACGCGGGCGTTTGGAAAACATGGGATTGAAATTGCAGATCGAAATTCATTTTCAATCCATTTGATCTGTTTCAGAGCAAAGAGTGAATGTATGATCCAAAAATCAACTATATTTAAACTCCCAAATACATATTAATTGTTTGAGGTTCACTTTAATTTTAGTTTTAGCTTATGATTTTAAGAACGCGAAAGATCATACAAGACAAAGATTATTTTTCAGGAGATATTTGATTCTAGAAGGGGGGATTGTCAATTCGAGTCATGCCTTAACATGACAATAGATTTTAATTCTAGGATTATAAGAGTGCATGGAGATTATACCCGGTACTTATTCTCACTGAAAACTGTTGGACAACTTTATTTAAAAATCGTTCAAGACCCCCACCCTCCCCCACCATCACCAAGACAATGTTATACATATATTTATCAAACTTAAATGAGATATTTGTCCCTTAAATATTTATACATTTAAAACACTGGACAAAAAAAATTCAACCTACCAAAGTTAAAATTATATGTCTTCTGGGTCAATCAGTAATATGAGCCTTCTAAGGTAGATTGAAAATGAATTTCGATCTGCAATTTCAGTCCCACGTTTTCCAAACGCCCGCGTCGAATTGTACCCGCCCATTGTGAATGTTTTGATTGTAACGGATAGAAATGACGTCAGCTGTATATTTCCAATTTTGCCAGTTAATGTTCCGCGGTCTTATGTTATTATGACTACAAAGTGCAAACTTTTGAGTCACTTAATAAAATTGGTGGGAACAGGTATATTGAGAGAAATAAAAAGAGTCAAGTGTACCTATTATTTATAATTTTCCCCTAATTAAACCGATCCCGATCGGAATTATATAAAGAAGAAAATACTATAATTGTTCTGTTAAATTTGGCTCTTTTGCTGCAATATTGTTTAAAAATTACTTTATTCATTTTTTTTTTTACATATTAAAGAGATGGCAGTTGCCTGTAGTTTGATAAATTTCTTAATATTGCATTATTTTCGATCGGAATCGGTTTTATTTCAATCGGGGTCGGTTTTTACCGTAAATTTAGAAATTATTTCCTCTATTTGGTTCTTCATTATAATTTATCAGAAAAATATGCTTGTTTTTCATTTCTATTCAGTCAGTCGTCTGTTTTTACTTGACTGTATTAAACCTAGATTCAATGTATATATATATATATATATATATATATATATATATATATATATATATATATATATATATATATATATATATATATATATATATATTAAATTACTTATGTCTTTTAGGTACATGAAGATTACATGTAAAACAAGTTTGATTTCTTGATACTCGGTATTTCAAAAGATGTATTTGTACATACATCATGCAACAACTGAGAGCAGACAGCTTTCTACGTATAATTTCATTATTTATCTTATTTCCAAGTAAAATTTCTTTTTTCTATTTTCTCAGGAATTCAAGAGTTAAATTCTATCAATGACGAAATTAAACTTGTCTAAATACAGAATATATTTTATATGTACGCTCTCGACTTTATCCAAGTTTTTTTTTGCCCATCATCTGTAAAGCCTTTCTCAATATATTCACCTCTTTTACAAATTTTGATTTTATATAAACAAGACAATAAGTGCTATAGTATCATTATTTAAGCCCAGATAAATCGCAAGCAAAAACCAAGTGGGGGGGGGGGGGTCATGACTAAAATGTACGTGAAAACTTTTATAGTTGGCCAATACAGTCATATACGGAAGCGTATTACTGCCACTTGAAAAAAAAAATATTGTAAGTCGTACATACGACATAATAAGTCGTACGTACGACATAATAAGTCGTACGAACGATATACTATGTCGTACGTACGACTAAATAAGTCGTACAGTGTACGTACGACATAATAAGTCGTACGAACGACATAATGAGTCGTACGAACGACTTAATATTAAGTCGTACGTACGACATAATATTAAGTCGTTCAAACGAGATACTAAGTCGTACGTACGACATAATAAGTCGTACGTACGAGATACTAAGTCGTACGAACGAGATACTATGTCGTACGTACGAGATGCTATGTCGTACGTACGACATTATAAGTCGTACGTACGACATAATAAGTCGTACGTACGACATAATAAGTCGTACGAACGAGATACTTAGTCGTACGAACGACATACTAAGTCGTACGAACGAGATAATATGTCGTACGTACGAGATACTCAGAACGTAGCTGCAGCTTTGTGGTTTTGTATTTTAGTCTTTGATCATATATTAAATGCAAATAATAGGCAATCTACGGCGCAAGATTTGAACGCACTTTTGGGAAGAATTTTCACACTTTCCAGCATTGGTCTATCCCTAATTCTAAACACATTTTTTAACCAATATGTATATTTTATCAACCTTCTAGCCCTTTATATTCGTTTCTACAGGCGATTAACTCGCTTGATTTGAATTGTCTGTTGGATTGCAGAAAATTCAAATCAAGCAAGTTTATCACCTCTGCTCGATTCGAACTTGGGATTTTACATTGTTTATTTCATATTTATCTGCAAAACTGTTTATTACAATTCATAAATTATAGACTAGGAAGGATAAAGATGTTATTCAATATGATATATTTATTCTACTGCATATTTTCAAAGCCTTATTAATTTCGGGTTTAAAATGGTATGATCAAGAGTAAATGGCTATTTAGGATATAGTCTAGAAAGTCTGAAAGAGTGTCTAAATGTTGAGAGAAATTATAAATTACTTCTATAACAACAAGTTTCGAGTGGTATAATGTCTTTGGCACGTCAGTTAGTCCGTCAGTCCTATTTTTTTATTTCTTTCTTTTTTTATAAGCATAATTATTCTTAAACAGCTGCATAAAATTTCATGAAAAATTGTAGATAATTAGGACACAATGTATAGATATGCATATTCCTAAAACAGGCACGTAGCAATATTATTGTTTAAAATTTGCACTGAAAGGCCGGTTGCCCCTTCCCCCACTTTGTGATACAGTAAAGTGAAATAAGGGTAATGTACATGTAGTATTTTATGCGGGAAAATTGTACTGAAAGAAGTTGGAACTTTAAAAAGACCCCCCCCCCTCCCCAAAATAATGTTTTCTTGTTAGGGCAATTTTTTACTTGTCAACTTTTTCAGGTAAGTTTTTTTTATCTGGCTGCCCCCTTTCCCCTTTCAAAAACGATGCTATGTCACTGCAAGAAATCTTAATTTCTTTATTTTTCTGGGTGAGCACTTTGGATGCGCAACCCTGCTTAAGAGGGCGACGGGGGGGGGGGGGGGGGGGGGGGTCGTGGCCATTTAAGACAATATTGCTCTCCTTTAGAAGAAGAGCTCCATATGAAAATGATCAAATTTACCAGCTGAAATAAGACAATTTTTTTTTCTGATCATATTATAGTTTACGGCTTATTTATTTGATAAAGAAACATTTCATGTTTACAATGTATATATTAATTTTAGGGTGGCAACTTTGCTTAAAGTCATTATAAGCGGGAGGGTATATAGTAATCGTTAATTCCGTCCGTCTGTACGTCTGTCCGTCCGTCCGTCTGTCTGTCTGTCCGTCCGTCCGTCTGTTACGCTTTGGGGTACCCATCTCTTATCCGCAACTCCTCTTATACCCCTAAAGGAAATTTAATGAAACTTTCACAGAATGTTTATAACATATTGCCATTGTGCACCCCCTATTTTAGGTTTTGATCCGACACATATTTTGGGTTTCACGGCCACAGCAAACATGGACTTTGCCATTATAACTATATGGAGGCGGGGGGTATCATTCAGTGAGCTCATTGCTCACAGTACCTCTAGTTTAAAATATAAATAGCATGCTTTCTGTTACGGCCCCGGGTCTTCAAGCTGATCATATACGTTAAACCTGTTAGAAAAATGTTATCTTCGCTTAATAGATAAATAATCTTCTTAAAATCAAATCTAGAAGATATTCTGTCCTTCACATCATGATCATTTACTACTTCTGCGATTTCATTTTAATTTATTCGTTTGGAGACTTTTCCGAGATTAAATGTATTAGATTATTCACGCATTTATTTTTTTTGTTTGTTTGTTTGTTTGTTTGTTGTTTTTTGTTGTTGTAGTTGTTGTTTTTTAGGGAGTGGGGGGGGGGGTTTGGATCAACCGCATGTCATTCATGTTTTGTGTTTTTTTCTTTTTATTTGGGGGGGGGGGGCGTTTGTGTGTGACACCATCATCGTGAGGAAGAATGAATAATTCTTGTCCTCAAACAATGAATGCTTACATTGTGGGATAATTTTTAGAGAATAATATTTCTGGT